ACGCCACCACCTTGACGGCAGCTTTAAAGAGAACTAGAGAGTTTTTGAAATAGTCCGGAAAAGTTGTAGGGAGTGGAGGGTTTAGGAAGGCAGAACATAGGATAGAGGGTGAGGAGGTGTCCTACCAGGGCAGAAGGGGGGTAGTCTCATTTCGTTCCCCTCCCCCCCCCTTCGCAATGGTGAGCCGTTTTCTGATCACCTCTGAGGTAGAGTATGAATTTTGAAAGCTTTAACCAACAATTTTCACTTTGGAAACGTTTCCATTTTCACGTATGACTATCAGTTTTAAGCGGAAGTGTTTCTTCAACAGATTCATTGTTATGAGTACTGAAACCGATTCCAAAAGATCTGCTTGTGTATACTTTTTAAGAAAAAATAATTATGTGCTCCGAACCAAGGATTAATTCTTATTCAAAAGTGAACAGATTTGTCATTCAGGTTGTCGAGATAAAGATCCTGCCATTTGTTCAAAACTCACCATTGAATCATGTCTATCAAGACCAGGCTTCTACATGAAATTATGTCCCGTCAGATGCAAAAACTGCAATGGTGAGTTCAAAATTTGGTATTTCAAATCACACCCTACTATAATAGAGCTAGTTTTCGATTCTTTATTCGACTGTCCTCAACTTCCGAGGCGATATAAGTTAGCACTTTATTGAGTCTGATTGGACACTTTCAACAACACAATTGTGCGCTATCACCCGTGATTCGCCCGAGTTTAGCGAGGTCGTTGATTTCTCCGCCACTGTAGACCACCCTGTTGAGCTCCTCCCGGACCCGGTAATCGAGGGGTTTAGGTCAGGTGACACACTTGGATATTCCGTCTTCTTCAGGTACTCAACGCCCTTCGATTCCAAGTAGGCGAGAGTTTTTCCAACGCCCTTCGATTCCATGTGCTGGCACCCAATCCTGTAGCAGTACGAAGTTTCCAAGATGGTACAGGCGACGACATGAAGGCAGGATATTCTCCTCGAGTTGGTCGATGTAACCGTCAGCGTTCACTTAGTCCGGGGTCCACGAAGAAAATATCGGTCTCCCCATTCCAGGAACTTCCGGTCCATACCATCAACCCGCGCCTTGGCGACTGCAGGTGAAGATGATATCCTGGACCGTAGCGACGTTGTCGGAGCTGCTCGATGTTGGAGGTCTTCCAGATCAAGAGTACTGGTCTCCAGGTAGCTGTCCATGGGTGACTCCATACAAGAAGTTTCGCAGCTGTTTGGAGGTGACGTGAATTCCATAGGCCTTCTCCAGTCAGGCTGCGATTGGAGATGGCTTCATATTTTGGTGTACATGAAGGTGATGGACGAGGGCCTGCTCCTGCTAATCGAGGAACATCTTGGGTGTCTTCCGCCCCGGTATCAGTAAAGTTTGCGCAAACTTTACGCAGCCTAGATAGAAGACGTGGTATCCATGTCTTCTATCTGGGCTGCGTAAACTTTACAGATATGTGACTCGGAAAAGTGTCTTTTTTTTGCTCCCCCCTGTATATGTGCCAACGTTTCAAAGTTCTTTGTCAGAGACACTGCTAATGTTTATGGCAGTTAATCTTAGCTATTTGTTCTCCGTACACCTCTAAACCTATTTTGAACCACCTTGATCTACTAGACAATTGCAGGGCTGCAGTGCTTGGACTCTGTAAAAATCGACTGTGGTGAAGTACGCCGGCTTGGCGGTTGCAAACTTCCAATGGCAGCCGAGTACTGCCCACGGTCTTGCAGACTTTGCGCTACACCGCCGGCACTTGCAGGTATATAAATGACATTGCACAAGAAACTGCTAATATATATTTATATTATTGTGAATAATAACAGTTTTTCGTTTACAGACAACTAAAAATGAATATTGGTTAGCTTGTCACTTTCTTGATAGTTTGTCTCACTCTGTGATAACGCGAATTTTCCAAAGAGTAAATATCCTTGGCAGTGTTTTGCCCTCTTCACCTCTACTTCTTCTACTTCCTTGTTAACAGAGGTACCCACTTAAATAGTCCGGAAATTAAATTAACTGACAAGCATGAATGGTAAAATTGTCATTATTGATTAACCCTTTTTTGGAATGTGGCAAGCTCAGAGTCGTGTTTCTTATGGGATGCGGAATGGAGGTATAAAGACGCGGGGGGGGGGGGACCAATGTACATCACTATTCTTCCTCCTAGGCGAACTTGATGTCAGCTTACCGGCCCTACCGTAGAAGGCTTGATGACCCCAAGCTGGGATTTGGCCCACCGGTCGAGAATGTGGTAAGCGAGGTGCATGCCAGCACATTACTTCAGTCTAGTAAGAAGCATAATGCCACCAGGAGTTCTAGAGTAAAAGGCATATTTCGCAAAGGTATAAGGTTGACCCATAAGTATTGACGTTGTTCTCTCACAAGTTTATGTGTAAAGTGACAATTCTTCTCAATGCGTCCTACACTGTTTGATAGATAATTCTCTGCAGTATGAGATAGTATGATTGACTCCCTACAGTTTCTTGAATTCTGTCGATTTTATTGAAATGGAATGCCGGGTCGACACAAAAGTGAGTTTTTGACAACAACGTCTTGCACTTTATCTCGGCTCTCAAGTTACAGAAGAAGCTCAAAACTTGTAGTATATATGATTAGGGAAGGTGCTTCTCATGAAAGTTTGAAGTTGGTTCATGCGACTAGGAGATGGGAATTCGTACATTAAAACTGTGCATTCCATGGGGGGGCATCTTGGGGAGCGACTACCTGCAGAAACTACCCACTAATTTTCGAACGTCTAACATCAACTGAGGGTGGTGGTTGACAATGATAAGGAAGCATTCTGTGACCTGAATGATTCCTCAATCTTTGGCATGAATCTCCGTGAATAAGGTAATTCCGTAAGCTCTCAGTTGGACACAATAGGGCATTAGGTTCGATGCTTGTCTGTGAGGTCGAAATTGAAATCTTCGAATCACTTAAATTATTGTAAGCATTTCTAAGAGACATAGCCTTTTGGCCATATACTTAGAAACTGCGGTTTTAGCTTTTTAGTCAGAGTTAAAAAAGCGAGGCTGCCGAAAATGCTTGGTTCCGCCGACCTGACACTCCAGTTTGAGCACTTAAATATTAGTGGAAAGAGAAATTTCAAGAGCACTAGAAAGACAATCTTATAGGGCGAGGAATTCTTTGCAAAACAAAACTCAATGGCAAATCTTTTCATTTTTAGCGCGTTAATGCGAGTGAAAAAAACACCATTTTTTATGGGCCGACCCAATAAATTTCGCAAAGTCGTACACGGCAACCCGCAAAGATCGGGTAGAACACAGCAGCAGTTTTCCTGTCTTCTCTGCACTGTTCATTTTTCCAGTGGGTTTTCAAAGAATATTCTCTCGACGCGGAGGTGGTTTAGTGACAAGTGGCGCGCTTATC